GACGTATTGCACGACCAGTTGGAAGCGATTGGCGTTGTCTTAAAGCAAATCCATCCCAAAGAGTGCGAACTGACGGCCGAACAGTTTGACGAGAAGGAGACACTCATGAAGGAGACAAAGATTGTCAACATTCCTCTGACACAACTCTATGTCATTAGCGATGGCGACTGCGAGGACCAGTTCCACAGAACCGCTCTCATCATCGAACAAATTCGCTTCTTTTACGGCCATCTGTGGCGCCCGTGGGATGAGATGACGAGCAGCGAGACGGCCGGTCACGAGCCCTTTGTCGAGACCAAACTCCTGCCGCGACTCGAGTTGGCGTTTGATATGAAGGATAAAATCATTCCTCAGTCGACGATAAACCGGATTAAGAACTTGTTGTCTGAGGGCTGGGCTATTAAGCGCACGCTTGAAGCCATCGATTCCTCCACATCTTTCGGCGAAATGGATATCAGTATCGAAGACAATAGTGATGTCGATTACATCAATGAACCCGATTTGGTTCAGGCCTTGAAACTTAAGCTTAGGCTCGAAGACATTGAGCGTGAGATGAGACTACTCGAAGACAAACACTTGCGGATTATAGTGTCGTCTCTCCGGTCATGCGGTGATAGCAATGGGTTTGGCATTGAGTTGCCCTCACAGTCACAGCAAAACAAAATCCATTTAATCGCCCAAAAGTTTACTTTGGTTTCAATGAAAGACATAACGTCTTCAGTTTCAGAGGTTTGTTATAAATGTATTTTTATCACAAAATTAATTCACTTTTGTTTGCAAATTAGATGATAAACGACACAACAGTTGAGTTTGAGTTTCACAAAAACTTCGGTCAAGCGTTGGCTTCCGTTAAATCTGGTGATAAGATCTTCGTAATGCCCGGACTCTACTCGTGTCCGATTCTTCCTTGGATTGAATCCGATATCGAAGTGAAGGGAATTTGCGGAACCGCTGATGAGATCATCATTGAAGCCAAAGAGTCGATCGGAGATATATTTATTAATTGCAATGCACTCAAAGTGGTCTTCTCTGGTCTCACGTTTCGGTCCACTTCCGAACTCCAGTGCCTTCTTATGATTCATAAGGGATTCGTTACGTTCAACGACTGCGTCCTCGACGGCAACCATCAGACAAGGAATGCGTTGATTGTGTTGTCCAAAGCGAAGGTCGAGATCGAGAACTGCAGAATCGTTAATGAGAGCGGAAATAGCATTATATCCA